GAAATCTACGTCCCGGGATTCTCTTCTCGCAAATAGATCAATGTGATTCTCTCGGTTGATAATCAACGATATTGCTGCTAATACTACGAGAAGATAGAACCTTGTTGAAGAAAAGAAAACTACGCTGTTATTTCGACGATGGTGAAAATTGCTAAAATAGGAAAAAATGTGGTTAAAAAGTAGAAACTTTAAAGTGAAAGCAAGAAAAGAATGGACGGGGATATCGATAATCGAGAATGAGCAAAGAAGTGAAACGAACGCTGAAAGAAGGAAGATAAGAAAAGAGAAAGCTAGCAAATTTTGAAAATATTTCCAATTCTTTAGAAAAAAAAAATAAAAAAATAAAAAACAGCGGAGTAATTGCTGGAGAAACCAAAGAAGAGAGGGAGAATGGAAGAAAGTGAGGATAGCTGGCTGGATGAGAGTAGCAAAGAGGGATCGTCGCTCCGTTGGTGGAAGGCAAAGAGCAGAAGTAAAAGAAGTTGGTTGTGACGAGGTTGGCTGCGAGGGAGAATAGAAATAAAGATGGAATCGCGAGAAACAAGGATGAGCGGGAAAAGAGAGGAAGATAGAGAAAGAGAAAGGTGAGAGAGTGGTGGAGGGTGCAAGGTGTAGGGTACAGGGTGTAGAGTGCACGCGGGCAGGGCCGAGTGTAACGAAGCTCCGACTTTTTAATTGGAATATATTCAGAAAGCGGAACGCCTTTTCATCGCGGGACTCGATGCACTGAATACGGCCTGAATCAACGCGGAATCAACCGCGCTTGCAACGAGCCTGCTGTGCACCTGCAAATCGGACCGCGTCTCTGCATTTATACGTAACGGATGCATAGCGGCTGCATAAAATAACCCACGAAAACGCGGATCCGCCCCTCTTCTCCCGACCAACCTTTTCTACCTTTTCTCTCGTTTTCTACCACGGCTCGCCGATATCCACCAACGTATAATCACCCTGAAAATACGATAAGTGCGACAAGATCGAAATGTTGCTAAGGGATTCGCATCTATTCGTTCTTCCTGCATCGTCTTCAACGTCAAAAATTTGTTTTTTGCCGATATCGTTTTTCGAGAAATATACGTCCAAGGATATTGCAAGCTGAAACTTAGATGTTAAAAAGGGATATTAAAGGATTAAAAAGATCTGAAATAATCTTTTTGAATCGTATTTTTTTCTAAACACCATTATCAGTTTAATGAATCGATATTCATTTTCTTGCATGCGGAAATAAACTAATTGAAAGTGCGTCGCTTTCGATAGATTTATTCCAGTGGAGGGGTCACAACATCTATTCGTTGTAAAGATAGAGGCTATGACAGCTTCAGCTTAATGGGCTGTTTGCTTGCAAATTGTGGTATTGCTAAAGGGCAACAACTCGTTTTAACTACCACATTTCAATCCCAAGAAGCCTTAGGTCCCTCTGGCAAGTGTTACATTTACATAATTGTCTTTTGCTTTGTTTCTTGTTCATAAAACCGTGTATTTTTCTAATTCTATCTATTTTTTATAGACATTATTTTTATAGATATTTATATATCTATTTTTTTCAATAATTTACTGCGTGTAGCGCAGTCATTGTCTTAATATTTCTAAAAATTCTATTTGTTAATAAAAGCAATCAAACTATTATTTAAAAATATTTATATTTCTGTTTATTGATAATTTCAATTATGTAGATATATCAATTAAAATATGTTTGCTTTCTTCATATTTAAAAAAAATTGCCCCGGGTGAGGATCGAACTCACGACCTTAAGATTATGAGACTTACGCGCTGCCTACTGCGCTACCGAGGCCATGAAGAACCTTTTATATTTAAGCTATTTACACGAATATTTCTTTAATCATTTAAATTATATTAATTGTGTTAATGCTATAATTTTGTACAATTTTATTTATATGATTATGTGACTCTTTAGAATTATATGTAAAAGGAATAATTCTAAATGTATGATATATAAATGCATATATATGTACGTATTTCAAATACAAATCAAGATGTCGCCACATAATGGGTATTGGCATTTAGGGTCTTTAAACTAGATCTTTTTAATATTGGTAATGATACTCTATTACGATCGTTAAATTATAGAGTACGGAAAGGATCTGTATGTAAACTGTCAAAAACTGTTTTTTCAGACTTCTTTCTCAAGCATTTCTAAATCTGCGCAGGGTAAGACAATATAGAATAATATGACAGACACTGAAAGTTTACGGGAAGCAATTGCACAATACGAACAGCAGGTATGAAATACTATTTTATCAACATTTTACAAAGAAGTAGTATAACCTTTGAAATATCTCGTATATCCGTTTCGTTTTTCGCGTAATGAAATATAGTTCATTTTTGTGTTCTAAACATATTTTTGCCATATCAGCTAGCTCAAGTTCAAGCAACTTTGTCTGTAACTACGCAAGAAGCAGATAGGGAAAATTTATTAAGTTTACAGTCAGACATACAAGAACTCATTACTTTAACGAAAAAAAGTCTACAAGGTGTCGAAACCTCTAGCGAAGATTTAGACGACGACGATGATGACGATGTTGAAATGGATGATGATATGGAAGATCCATTGGAAAAAGAATATGCTTTATTCAAGGTAATGTATCCTTGATCAAACAAATTTATAAAAAAAATTGATAAAGAAATATAAAAGGTTCAAAAAAGTAATATTTTATTTGATATAAATTTATTAGGCAGAACTAGAGAAAACTCCTAATGATTCTGAGAGTAAAGAACGGGATAAACAAGATGATGGAGCTTCAAATAATATAGAAGTCAGTATGCAAGTATTCTATATGGCATAGAAATGATACAATTATACGGTGGAAGTTCATCTTGTAGGATGAGTTGAGGCAGCTTGAAGGCATGAAATGTCGAGCTCCCCATGGTAGCAGTTGGGGAGGCATTGGTTATCATAATGCTATGATATGCTCTGTTTATCAGAATGACAGCATAGAAATAAAAAATATGCAAGATATAAAAGTAAGGAAAAAAATGATTTATAATCAGATTTAAGATAATTGCTAATTCAAATGTCCTTTTAACAAAATCAGCAGGAAACAGATAATTTTCTTTATCCACATCCATTTTATTAATCGTAAAGATTTAAATATACATTATTATCTAGGTCAGGGTATTTTTTCTAAATCCAACACATAAAGAAATGCTTCCATGTCCTTATTATTTGGATGGAAAATGTAAATTTTCTGACGAAGATTGTAGATTTTCACATGGAGAATTAGTACCATTATCCAGTATTAAAGAATATAGGTAAATGAATTTATTGATATTTAATAATAATATATGAAAATTGAAAGTACAATATTTATTATTATTAACAGAGAACCAGATTTTCAAAGTATAAAAATGGGTAGTAGAGTACTAGCAAAACAAAAGAATCAATTGTGGCACAGATGCATTGTATTAAAAATGCCAGAAAAGGAAGGAGATGTTTTCAGAATTAAGTTCGAAGCAAATGGTAATATTGCAGAAGTTTCCCTACAAGATCTTTTACCTCTTGGTATGTATCTTCTGAAATGATTGTACATTCAAATTTTATCCTTTCAAACATTTATTTCAATTTATTGTCAGATGATACTGACTTGGAAATGTCAGATACATCTGAAGATAGCGAGGATGAAAGTGATTCAACAGAGTATTCCAAAGAAGAAATAGTTCACAAATCTCTTCTCACGGTAGAAAGTAACACACCATTAGGAAATTGGGAAAAATATACGCGTGGCATAGGTAGCAAATTAATGGCTCAAATGGGATATGTAGTAGGCACTGGTCTTGGAAAACATTCAGATGGCAGAATAGAACCAGTTGAAGCAACAGTGTTGCCAGCTGGTAAATCTTTAGGTATATATATATATATATTTTTTTTTTATACTATTGTTTTGTATAAACACTTACTATTGTATAAACACTTACTATTAAAAATATTTGATTTCTAGATCATTGTATGGAATTACGAGAAAATGCTGGAGGAGATGAAAATTTATTTTCTGTGGAACGTAGAATGCGGAAGCAACAACAAAAATTGGAACAGCAAAGAGAAAAACAGTATCAAAGAGAAAAAGAACGAGAAGAAAATAACGTGTTTAATTTTATAAATGCAACTTTAGGTGATAAATGTATGTCTAAGGAAATTTTCTTATAATTCGTATATATTGTTTCAGTACATTCTGTATTTCACAATACTTCTAAATAATTCTTTGTAGCTAAAATAGAAACACGAAATATTTCAAAAGGTAAAAATAATCTTAAAGCAGAATCAAATCGACAATTAAACGTAGCAAGTTTTCAAATTGGAGAAAATATTTTAAGACTAGAACGAGAATCGGCGAAGTTAAAAGAATCATTGTCAAGACATGCAAAAGGAAGTGTTCATTATAATAACATCATAATGAAATGTAATGAGAAACAGAAAGAACTAATTAGTTTAAAAGCATCTGAAAAAAGTATTGCTGCTGAACAAGATCAACGAAAAAGTAGAGCTAAATTATCTATATTTTGATGTACATATATTTACAATTTTAACTTTCTACAAGAAATTAGCTTATGTATTGTATCTATTAATATGTGTAAAAAAATATAAATAAATAAATCTTATAATAATCGTAATTGTTGCATTAATAATCCTTGCACATTATATATCTTTTTTTTTAAATATGTTATACTTGTATAATTTATAGTTATACTTTATCTTGATGTACACAAACGAACATGGCTACGTCCAGTGACAAGTATAATATTTTTAAATAATTAAGACAATTATCGCATTTGAATGATGTTTTAATTAAAATTTTTTAACTTTTGTACATATGTATTAAAACTGATATTATTCGCAGGATCGAAGATTGTGAGGTATGTGGTAAAAACGAATCAAAATACACGTGTCCAAAATGTGAGGTTAAAACTTGTTGTCTTGAATGTGTAAATATTCACAAAAAAGAATTGGAATGTGACGGTATTCGAGATAAAACAAAATTTATACCATTAAAATCGTTTACAGATTTGGATATTTTAAGTGGTAAGTTATGTTCATTATATAAACTTGTGCTAAAATTTAAAAAGAATTTTTTTATTTCATTATTTTTAATCATTACATTTTTATTATTTAAAAAAAATATATGACAGATTATAGGCTTCTTGAAGAAATTTCTAAAACAGTTGATCAATTAAAAAGAGATCCATTGAAGAAATATACATGTCAAGTCAGTTTACCAATGGTTTGTGAAATTATTTAATTTATATCTTCCAAAACATGACATATACTTATGTGCTTATATTACTAAATACTATAAGTATTGTTTTTACAGCATCTGCATAAACTTAAAATAGCTGCATTTAAGAGGAACATTACTTTACAATTTATGCCACAACATTTTAGTAGACATAAAAATAATACAACATATTTAAATTGGAAAACTAATGAATTATATTGGAGAATAGAATGGATTTTTCCTCAAGCAAACTACACAAAATGGGTCACAAAAAGGTAGAATTCTTTTTTATGTTGACATATATGTACATTGCAATATATATATATTAATTTGTTATTGTAATGTATTTTGTAATTTTTTAATATATTATTAATTTTATTAAAAATTATGTTAACTATAGAGTTCTAGAATGTACAAGATTATCATTGCTTATAGAAGAAATTTTATATCCTACTAAATCTATAAAAAAGAAAAATGATATGGAGGAATTAAATCTAAAAATGTGTCTAAATGAAAAACTACAATTTTATCAGGCAGCAGGTTTATCTAGAATAAAAGTTCTTTTAAAAGCAGAGAAAGTTATAAAGTCAGATTTAAAGTAAGTACATTTAATCCTTTGTTTTGAAACTTAATACATTTAAGACTGATTACACAACCATTGTGTCATTTAATATCTCTACTTAACAGCTAAAAATGTAATGCCTCTATTATTGACATTTACTAAATTTTTTGAAAAAAATCATTGTTAGTGAAGCTAATGAGCTACTCAGCAGTAGAATAAGATCCTTTAAACATGTATTATATTTGCTTTTAATGTCACATAAAAATATTAAAAATTACTATACTGCGTGTGTTAAGATATAAAAATAACGAAGCATATAGTGTGTCAATTGAAAAAATGATTTCGAGCCAATGACACACAGATACATTATAAAATATAGTTTATTTAAATATGAGTTTAATTGGCACTAATGTTACCATTCAACTATTGGGATCTTTATAAAATTCATCGATTTCCAACATGTTAAATATAACTAATTAAATTGTATGTTATAAAATATATAGGTTTTATGAATTGGATATTACGCTTTCATTAAAGGAGAATTTAGAAAATAAAACTATAATTGAATTTCCAACAATATATGTAATATTAAATGATCACACATGCATGTATGAAATTATAGATACTGGTATGTTTTTTTTATGTATAATTTTTATTTTTAAGATCACACAATTAATCAGTGTCATAATATATTACATAATATAATACTTTAGATGATGAAGATGTAAATAATTCAAAATATAACAATACATCAAAGAAGAAAAAAAAATACAAACAGACGAAGAAAGAAACAAATTCAACTGTGAATTATTTTTTTAATTCTGAATTCTCAGACTCTGATGAAGAAAAATCAAGTAATAAGTCAAAAAGTGAATGGTTATCAAATTGTAATACACCCAATAATGAACTAATTAAAATGGAACAATAATATAATACAAAATATTTTATATATATACATATACATGTTAACAAATCAAGGTAATTCGTCAATTTAAATGAATATACAAATTCAATCTTTTTTATTTAATTTAAATACAATATTTCAATAGAATAATACAATTGAATCGCGTATAAATAGAACAGTAATGAAATTACAACTATACCTTCATTGATTCCCCACCCGAAAAAGTAAATACATAAACATTTATGCTTCAGAGAATAATACAATCACAAGAATAAATACATGTTTGCTTTAACTGTAAATTATGTAAAATAATACATATGTGATAAAATATAAATATTTTAAATATGAATATAATTTTAATTTTATTTTAATAATTTTAAATTTTCAGATTATAAATAAAAATAATAAGATTCGCATAATTTTTAATATAACAATAATCATAGCTGTACATATTGTCTTTTTAGAGAACTGCTTTACTAAGCTAAAGCAAAGATGGTCATACATTGTTTTAATTATGTAAAGAATTATTATATTTATTTATTGCAATATGTGAAACAATATCAATATTATATTCCTTGCGACTAATTTTTTCTCTGAGTGCAATATATATACATTGTTTCCAATTTCAAATAAACTTGAAATTTAAATACGTGAAAAACTAAATTCATAAAAAAGATACTTGCCAATTTTAGAAAAATAATGTAATGAAAAACATTAATAGTCTTTACATAATCATAATTATTTAATCAATTATATCAAAAAACTAAAGAATAAAAAAATATAATAGGAAGACTAAAAATGCAACAAGTCCAGCCACAGCCTTTACATACATGGACTTGCTATTTAAATGAGTTGCATCTTTTTTATATTTTTGTGACAACATAGTCAAATTTTGTGTCTTAGTATCAAGCTCTGTAAAATAAATAATAATTAAATAAAAAATTTTATTTTTTTAAAATATATATTATTACCTGAAAGAACTGTACCCCTTTGTAGAACATCGTCTATATTTTGAACCATGATTCTTTGCACATCTTGCAGTTGACTGTTAAGTGCATTCATATTTCTTCTTGATCTACCATCCAAAAAAACCTTTTTTGCTTTTTGAATGTATGTATCTGAAAGAATAATTTATATTTTATGGAAATGCTACATAAACTAAATTATATAAAAAAGAAGAAAAATACATACTGAATTCGATAAAACTATAGGGCCTAGTAACTGTATTGACACGTTTACCATATAAAGAATGAAATTCTTGTGCTATATCTTCAAGATAACTATATGCAGCCCGTTTACTATAGTTCCTTTCACATAGTACCAAATAACATACTTCATTTTCAATTAAATAACTGCAAATGGAAATAGGTGATAATTTATCATTATATAATTTATCAATTGAATGAAAATCCTGAGTAAGAGTCTATATTATATTTAGCATATTTCTGGATAATAATACTGTAACATAAAATATATGTTTTTTTTCCATAAGTTTCAAAAATTTAAAGTTTTTGCTTTTATATTTTAGATCAACTTTTACTAGAATATTTCCAATCAGTATGCACTGAAATAATTTACAGAGATTATAAAATCATACCATATTGTTAACTCAATTTTGACTTAGCTCAAATGTAACATGGGCTTTTATTGAAGTTTTTCATTCAATTATAACATAAAAAACTTACTGGAATAAATATGGACCTGTTTCTATAGTACATCTAGCTGGAGATTGAGGCCCCAATCTTCTAAATAACATTTTTGCTTGATTCTGATATTCTAAAATACTTCTTCCACTCTATAAATAATTAGTGAAACATTGTAATCAATCAATGAACAAAAATCTTATACTTCGATAAGTAATATTAATACATTTCAACATATTATTGAAAATAATTATATACAAATTAATTAAAAACTACTTAATTATACAACAAAACTTATATAAAAAGACAAAAATTATTTTAAAAAATCTTCAAACTCAACCATATATTGACGTTTCATCATAACAGATCTAACCTGTTCATCTTCTTGCATAGTAGCTGCTAGTGGTAAACCATCTGCTATCCTTGCAATCATTGTTAATAACACCATTTTGGTAAAAATTAATTAATTTTTTCACTGAAAATATAGAAAAAAAATATTAAAATGTTTGTAAAATCGTCGTTTCTTCACCACTTGTGATCCATTTACGCAAAACTGGCCACCGTGTGACCGATTCGTCAAATGTCCACTGTTGGCATACCACGTCAGTCACTAGTCACTGCATTTCGAAGCTTCCATTGAACACATCGCAATCATGTCTCTCGTTATTTTCACATTTTACGATTAATATAATTACCAATACTTGAATGTACAAAATCAATAGATTTGATATGCGTTTATTAAAAATAAAAAGTCATAATAAAACAGATACAAATAAATATCTACTTATAAAAAAAAAAAAAAAAAAAA